TGTGCTCTGCCCCTCAGGGTGGACCGGTCCTGCATGTTGCACACCTGTGGAGCCGGGCGGCCTGTGGCCTCTGTGTGGCTGAGCAGTGTGTGCTGAGGCTTGCTCCGTGCCTCCACTTCTGATCCCAAGGGCTCGGAGGCGGCAAATCATCTGACCTCCAAGTCAGAGTACCCCTGGTGGTGCTGCGGCCTGGGCATGGGGCTGCCCAGTGCAAGGTTAGCCGTTCAAACTCACCCACTGCTCCCGGGAAGAAAGATGAGGCCGCCTCCTTCTGTGAAGGGGCAGGGCCAGTTCTACGGGCGATCAGCTTGCCCGCAGTGGGCTTGGTTTGGTCTGGTTAGAGACACCAGTCACCAAAGGCCTGTTACCCTAATTCTTTGTGGGTTCATCTCCTCCCTTTGGTAAGATCCCGTGCCGCCATTCCCCCCTCCTGCTCCATTCGCTGTGTAAGCTGCCCCAGTGAATCTGTTGCGTTTGCTCATTGGTTGAAGAGCTGTTTCTAACCAGCAAGTGTCGGGTACTGTCCTAGGTGCTGAACTGGCGTGTTATTCCAGCTGGGTAGACCAGGATGGTACAGAAGGGGGCTCTGGGCATCTGTTTAAGCAAATCTGACAGCAGCAAACCCAGGCTGCAAAGTGAAGAGCTACATTCGATAGGGACGTCAGACTGGGAGTCTTCTCCCTTTAAGGAAGACCCTTTGGGACTTTGCTCTCACTTTTGATGTTGGGACATTGTTGCAACTCCCGTGACATCACTGACCCCACTTCCTCCCTGTACTTCCTGTTTCCAGTCCTCTCGTCCTCATCCTCTGGAATGCCATCCTCCGCTAAATGCTGCCTCCGATCTCTAGGCGCCCTGGTGGCGTAGTGATTGGACTGCCAACTGCAAGGTCTGCAGTTCGAAACCACCAGCTGCTCCATGGAGAAACGTGGGGCTTTCCACTCCTGTGAACAGCTGCAGGTCTGGGAGCCCCTGGGGCAGCTCTGTCCTGTCTGCAGGGTGGCTGGGAGTTTGATTTTTGTCTCAAACAGTGGAGCACTCTCAGCTGCACACATCTCACTAGTGTTGCTGTTATTAACAACCAGGTGACTTCCCTGCAACCCTGATTCAGGTGTGTCCGCATAGACACGTGCTCCCTGGTTCCACGTGGACCACCAGACCTTTCTTCCCTGGCCCCTTTGGGGGAACTCAGACACCTCGGGTTTGGATGAATTGTCCACACCAGCCACGGACTCCTGTCCTCTGTCCACATCACAAAGCTGTGCCCTGGGCAGGGCGACACCCGTCTAGTGCCTCACACAGCGCATGACTGCACTCCAGAGAGGGAAACAGAGTCTGCTCAATGACGACTTGTGGGCCTTGAGCTCCCAAGGCCGAGCCTGGGGAGGAGGGGGTGGAAGAAGACGTGAGGCTCAGAGCTACGGGCTGGGGTCCCCTGAGAGTTCTTGGAAAGGAAAGCCAAACAGCTCATGGAGGTCAGTGGGTGAGCGGGGCTGCATTTCCCCCCTCGGCTCACACCCATGGCTACAGGGGCTTGTGGGACAAGGCAGGGGCTCCGCTGGTGCACTGCTTATGCATTTGGCTGCTGACCCGGAGGCTGGCAGTTCAGGCCGACCAGCTGCTCTGGAGGGGCAGTGACCTGTGAGGAGGGCAGCCTAGGGAACCTATGGGGCAGCTCTCCCCCGTCCTGCAGGGGTCTGTGGGCTGGATGTGGCTCACTGGCCAACAGCAGCAGCAGAGTAAGGAGGAGCTCATGGGGAACAGGGATTTGAACGCCACTGGCTTTTAGTCAAGGTCTCTTACTGGCACATTTGTGATGGGCACAAGAGTGACTGAGCGGCCAGTAGAACCCCCAGGTCCGAGCCTTGTCCTCCTGGGGGTCGGGGGGTGTCAGTCCAGCTACGAGACTCCCTCTAACTCATGAACCAAGCGCATGCCTCCAATCATAGAGGCCTCTCCCAGGAAAGCAGGAGAGGGGATCAGAGAGGGCGTGCTCGTACCAGGAGGACTTCCTGGAAGAGGTGGCCTTTCCCACTGAAAAGCACCTTGTGAAACATCCAGTGGACACTGACAACCAGAAACACGTTGGCGGTTATGATGACCACGACCATGGCCATGGCCCGCTGTCCCAGAGCATCCACACAGCAGTGTCTACCGGGGCCCTTCCATGTGCTGGTGCTGTTCTAGGTGCTGGGGAGACGGGTGACAGACCGGTAAGGCCCCACTCTGGCTCTCAGGAGCAGAGGCCCGCACTCAACACAGCACTGGCTGTATCACAAAGGCCCCGAGAGCACACAGGAAGTGCGTGTCGTGTGGACACGAGTGGCTAACAGAACCGGTCCCTAGTAAAGGGGAGGCGCTGCTTGCCCAGTGATACATACAGCCCACGCGCATGACTGCCTTCACCCCCATTCCGACTCCCAGTGGCCCCACAGGGCAGACGAGACCGCTCCTCCGGGTTCCTTGGACCATGGATTCATGGGAGCAGAAAGCCTCAGCTGTCTCGCACAGGGCGGCCGGGGGTTTCCAACTGCTAACCTGGTGGTTTGCTTTCCAACTCCTGAGGACGAGTGCAGTGGTTCTCAAACCTTGGGTCAAGACCCCTTTGGAGGTCCAACCACCCTTTCACAGGGGTCGTCTAAGACCATCGGAAACCACATACATATTTCACAATATAGAATTACATATTGTTTTGTGATTACTCACTATGCTTTAATTATGTTTGATGATGCTCAATTTGTAACAAGAAAATACAGCCTGCCTATCAGATACTGTTATGCATAACAGTAGCAAATGACAGTGATGATGTAGCAATGAAAATAATGTTATGGTTGGGGGTCCCCACCACGTGAGGAACCGTATGAAAGGGTTGCGTCATTAGGAAGGTGGAGAACCACTGGTGTAGTGGGTTACTCATTGGATAGGAACCACAAGGGCGCTAGTTTGAAACCACGCGCTGCTCCGGGGGAGAAAGACGAGGCTTTGCATTTCCATAGAGCGACAGCCTGAGAACCCATCGACAGTTCTGTCTGTCCTGTGGGCTGCTGGGAGGCAGAGTGCATGCGATGGCAGATGGCGGTGAGGGTGCAGCTTGCAACCGGTACTGCATCCGACCTCACCGGACAGGCCTCTGCAAACAGCAGCATAGCGCCCCTCCAGGCGGCTCTCTTCCACAGGAACATCTGTGGCTTCCAGCTCTCGTGGCTGGTTGAGTAGCAGAGCTGGGGTCCCAGCTCAGGAATTCTGGCACCGACACCTGTGTCTCAAGGGCCACCGGTGGACAAACCCAAAGGACCCTATAACTAATATCCTCCCATCCATCCACCCACCGCCACCAGACTCATCCCACTCGAGGGAGTAAAGAGAGGCCACAGTCGACCATCTGGAGCAAAGGAGGGCTTGTAGTTCGAGTTAACACAGTTGACCCCAGCACTGTGCTGGGAGGGGGGCTGATGGCGCAGGGGCGGCGTAGGGGTGGGGAGGGCCCACGGCGAGGGGGTACTCACTACACTCACTCAGTCGAGTGCATAGACACGCGGAGGCCCTCTGGGCCAGGGTAGACCTGCCCGTGGGTTTCCGAGGCTTGTAACCGTACGGGAGGCGAGACTTCCATTTCCTCCTGTGGAGCAGCTGCTGGTTGGAACTGCTGACCTTCCCAGCCAATGGCAGCCGAACTTGTCACCACCAACCAGGGCTCCGGGAGGGAGTCCAGACCGAAGGTCCGGTCAGAATGGAACTCAGGACTGTTGAATCACGGCTACCCTGTCCTGGGGCAGAACGGCCCCCTCGGGTTTCTCAGGCCGCCACTCTTGTTAAACCACTCACCTCGGCCGGCCGTGGAGCTCGTTAACCACTGCTCCACAGAGAGAGGCAGGCGCCCGACCGTCCGTCTCCAGAGATGAGCCCTGGGGACCCCGGGCAGGTCCTCTCGGTCCTACAGGGTCACTATGAGTTGGCATCAATGTGATGGCATCAGGTTTGGTTTGCTTTAGGGAGGGACACCGAGCCCTTGGTGATCCCAAGGACAGCATGCTCGGCAGCTAAACACGAAGGTTGAAGGTTCAAATCCACCCAAAGGTGCCTTGGAAGAAAGGTCTGTGATCAGCGAGCAGCTGGGAATCCTGTGGAGGGGTCTCACTACTAACTTCGCTAGAACTGGGGTGCCGCCAGGACTTGGTGTGGAGGGGGCACCGGGAGAGGGCAGAACACACAGGTGTGCCCACAGCCCCAATCTTGAGCTCTCCTCCCTCCCTTCCACCAGGTGGCTGTCACCGTCGGGCTGCGCTACCTGCACACAGCGCTGGAAGGCATGCCCGGCCCCGAGGAGGACCCGGCGTGCGAGGCAGAGAGCGAGGGCTGGCTGCTGGAGAAGAGCGTGTCCGAGACGTGGAAGGCCTTCCTGCAGCGCGTGCGGCAGCTGGCCCAGGGCAACCAGGTGGAGGCCCAGGGCGGTGGGGAGGCGGACCAGGCCCCTGGGGCAGGCTGAGCACCCAGCCTCTGCCTCCCTCCCCGCACACGGGGCAGTTATGGACGCCAATCGCAGAGCCCTGCGTCTTGCTGAGTCTGGATCTCTGAGGAGGGCGCCGTCGCCCAGAGACGCTTCTTGGTGGTGGGATTTAAGGGCCGGGGTTTCTGAAAACACTCGGACATTTGCTGAACGATTGATTGACTCAACGTGCGAACAATCAAGCCCCCCTGCTCATGTCCCCCTTCCTCCTCCCGGCCCATGGCTAGCCTCCAGGTGCCTCCAATTCCCTTCGAGGATGGATGACCAGACCCGGCACCCACTGGTCTCCAAAGCACAGGCCACTCAGTAGCACCTTCAGGCCACTGGCTGCACCGGAGAGCCCTCCTCTTCTCCGCTGGCTTGGGATCTTGGAGTTGGGTCATATTACGTCCCAAATGTCACTGGGAGTCTGAGAAACACACCATGTGTCACATAAAGCAAACCAACCACAGTTTTTGAAGGCCACTCCGTGCAACAGTGGAAGGTGGGCTTTGGAAGGAAAGGGATTCTCTCCCCTGCCCCGGCCACAGTGAAGGCGGGCTTGGGTGCCACGTTTGCACGCCCTCTGCACTCGGCGGCCAGGAGGGTGCCACAGCTGAGCAAGTCAGGTTGGTGGCAAGTCCCAGCAAGAGCCAAGCCCCCAGGTGCAGGCTCGTCTGGGGAGGCGCTGGGCTGTGTGGACCTCAGACAAGCAGGCCCTCTTTGGAGAACAGACCTCGCCTCTTTGGGGGCCTCCCCCCTCTTCCACCCACAGGCGGCCACAACAGTCCCCGTGGAAGCCAGGAGTCCACAGTGGAGAGTGAAGGTCCCCCCCCACAGACACACACTCCCTCCACAGCTCCCCATTCTGCAAAGCCGTGATTCTGAAGAGCGGTCCTTGAGAGCCACCTTCCCAGGCCAGCAAGAGCACATTTTCACTTCCTTCGGGCCCCAGACAGGATGGAAAGGGACCAGGTGCAGGCAGGGCTCAGTGTGCTCCAGATGGGGCGTGAACGCTCGAGATGCCCATTCCTGACCCCTGGCTGGAGCACAGCCGGCAGGGTAAGGATGTGCAGGGCAGCCCACTGGCAACTCCGTCCTGGGGCTGCTCAAGCAGAGGTGTTTGTACCCATCTCCCGTGGGGAGGGACTAGCCCTTCTGGTTCTGTCTGGACTGTCTGGGGGTGCTGGTGTTCTCAGACCTGGTCACAGATGGCCAGAACCCGTTGGACTTTGGTCCCAGTTTCAGCTACATGTCCGTGGCGCCGTGTGCAGAGTGGAGAGTCGGCTCTCCTGAAGAGGGTCCCTGAGCCCTCTCAGTAGCACCGACAGCCGGGCCGTGCACGGCTGTACAGTAGGCACTGCATTAAACACGGTATTATATGACGAGCACTGGGTCACACGAGTATCTAGCCTGTCCAACAGCACGCTCACCATGAGATGCTCCAATCTGTAACGTTTAGTACCGATGGAGAAGCCGGTCACAAAACCGAGAACCGCTGCTCACGATCAGGGGGCTGTGTGCCAGCCCCAATGCTGTCTTTCATCCACAACACCAGGGACTATGTATGAGGTGATGCCCGTCATCTCAACATCTGCTAGTTTGGGCCAGAGCTGAATTTGTTTAAAATGTGACGTGGAACTTGGCAATTTTAAGCAAAGACTCCAAACTCTTCCCTCTGCCCTGGTCTCACCAAAACACGTGAGGATTCCCTTCAACAGGGAAACAGGGTACGAGGCAACTGGAGATGGCGAGCACTGGTGGGAGGCCCAAGGGCCGACTAGCCAGTGCCCCCTCCGCTGGCAGTCCAGGGCGGGCCCAGGGAGACGGTGCTCTTCTCAGGCAGCTGCTGGGGACTCCTGGCCCCTCCCCTTTGGCCACTTTACCAGGCCCAGCAGGACTCTTAGCAGCACCAGGTGCCCCCTTGTGCCTCACCCGACTCCAGTCTTTCCTGGGAAAAATGTTCATTCAGTCTAAGTTCTGCCAGCCTGGTTTGGGGTGGAGCACGAGACAAAAGGTGGGCCTTCTGTGTTTAAAGCTGTCACTCTGAGGCAGAGGAGGAGGTACTCATTGTTCTGAACTTTGGAAAGAGAAGGGTCTAGGATGTGTGTCTTGGGCAGCAGGCTTCGAGCCCAGGCCAGAGCCACCAGCAAGGACACCCTGTGCGACCTCAATCCGGGTGATCAGATTAGAAGCTTGCGCTGCACATCCCACTCCTCGTCGGCCGGGCGCCTGTGGAGCCGGGTCAGCAGGTTTGCAGCTTAGCCCAGGTGCACGGGGACCAAGGCACCCAAGGTCCCTCGGTGTGCGTAGCTAGTCAGCAGTGCTGAGCTGTGGCGCCCACCCCAGGGCCTTCCGCGTTCTCATGGGACACAAGGTTGACCTGAAGGGAGAAAGCGTCGGTCCTACCCAGGTCAGAGGTTGCGGCATATAAATAGGGAATCACGCATGGAGAACTCGGTGCTCGGAGGAGGGTGTGGGGCGGGGTGTAAGATGGGAGAGAACTCACGGGGATGAGGCCTCGGGCTCACACGAAGTACACACACACACACACACACATGCATGTGGGCGCGTGCACGCGTGCTTATAAACACCCTTTACCAGTGAGCATATAAACCCGCCCCCGCAGCACAGGGATCCCAGGCATTCCGAGGGGGTCCAGTGAGAACCAAACCCGGGGGCAGGGACAGGGCTGGGGGGCAGCCTGCGAGACCTGGGGTGGCGGGGGAGCCATTCCACTGCTTGGTTGGGCTGGTGGTTAAACAGCTGCCCTAGAAAGGCCGGGTTCACTGTGCACCAAGTGCCCCCACACCCCCCACTCCCAGAGAAGAGCTCAGCTAGCGCGTCCCGGGGGCTCTGGGGGCTGCAGCCAGAGCAGGGAGGGAGCGCCTGAGCGGTGCACACAGACCGGCCTCTCCAGTGCAGTGCTCCTAGGACCTGGCGGTCACCAGCTCAGGATGGACAGAGGGAGGGAAACCTCCCCAGGCAGCTCTCAGAGGTGTGGAGAAGCTTCGGGGGCCTGGCTTTCTGCACACCTGAGGGCCCCGGGGGTCCAGAAAGGTCACAGGTAGTCACAGCCAATGAATCTGAAAGCCCATCGGCTGAAATGCTGACCAAGGTTTTCCTCTGGGAAGGTCACGGTGGCCTGACTACTGGCCAGTTCGGTCACTAATGATATAAGCGCCTTAAATTTCCGCTCAGGCAGGTGGTGCATTTGGGGCAAGGTGACACCGGGCACTTCTGTGGCCTGTGGCCGTGTGCAGCAGAACAAAGATGCGGCCGACCGGGAGTGACGCCGACACCGAAGACATTTATTTGGATCCCTTTAAACTTTTTACATATGATACATTCCAAATTTTACAAGTTGTCCACAGATAGTAAAGTCATAGTCAATTTATTAAACAGATAGGATTTTCCCTGATATGGAAAGCATGTTATATGAACATTTCTACAATTAACATGATACATGCAGTACAAATCAGAAAGCTGGGATGATTCGCTAGGGAGACAACTAGCTCAACACCACACACGGGAAAGCTACAAGTGTGTGTGTTGCTATTTCGTGTCAATGCACAGTGTCCCGGAGCCCTGGGCACCCTCAGAGAAGGGCCGGAGGGCCGGGGACAGGCTGTGTGCTCAGCCGCAGGGTCTAGCAGCTGGAGCACTGCTGTGACTCCGTGGACGGTCCCACACACCACTGCTCTCAGGATTTTAAATGTCAGCAGGGAGGACGGATGGGGAAACGCCAGAGAAGGTGGACTTTCAAAGCTAAAGGAAATGAGACGTGACAGCGACCAAGAAAGGGACAAGGCCACCCAGCCCAGAGGCGGGTGGCACCTCACAGCCTGGGTGCTGCTCGCACCCCTCTGTACTTGTGCTTTGTGTGCGTGTGCATGTGCGTGGCACACAGCTCAGGGGAGGGGCGCAGTGGGGTGACAGGCTTGCACGCAGTCGTCTTAAAAACAAAAACCCGTCAAGAGCCAAAATGATCCCCTTGCCCCAGCCGCCGCCCCTCTGGGAGGCTGGGGCTGAGTCCTCCAGGCAGTGGGCCAGCACTCTCGGCCAGGGGTCCAGCGAGCCGAGCCCGTGTCCCTGGACGGAGAGGCTGTGTGGTCGCCGACGTTTCCGCTCCGTCACTAGGTGGCGAGGACGAAGGCTTGCTGGGCACAGGCCTGGGTGTGCAGGTGCCCCGCAGGCAAGCAGCTGCTCCCCTTTCTGCCAGGAATGCTGGGGGACCAGGGACCTTACAACACCAGGTGCTCATTCCCCGCCTGGTTTGATTCTAGAAGCTCCCGCTCTCTCAGCTTCGTTGTAGAAATGATACCAGAGAACCATATTCCGTCTGAAAAACTAGGATATATTTGAGTTTTCGTTAAAAGCCCTTTAAAGTGAGTTTTTTTTCCTCTCAGCGTCAAAAGCCTCATTAAAATAGTAACAATCATTCCACCAGCGATAGCACGGGACCGCACGCAGCACACGGCCAACCTGCCCCTCCTCGTGGGCTCCTCCCTCACAAGTGCCACTCGACCCCGGCAGCCGGGCACGGAGATGGCTGCCGGGACACTCCAGCCTCACAGGCCGCTGCTTCGCTCTGAGGACTCCTGGCGGCTCTTCAGTGCAGGGAAAGGCCCACCTGGGCCCGAGCCACCGGGAGGCACAGCGACCCCAGAGACATGGTTTCCAGCTCCCGCACCCTCTGTGGTGCGAGGGCCCAGGCCAGCCTTCCACGGGGCCTGCGAGGCAACAAGTCCGACTCGAGGCTAACAGAACAGTGCAGGCTACCGGGACCTGCTGCCGCTGGCCAAGTTGTTTCATCCAGTCTCCGGAGCCAGAGCTACACAAATAAAGCTGGAAGGAAAGCTTAAATAGAGAATTTATTTCCAAATTCAGAAGACCTTATGTCCTATTTCCTTTCTCCAAAGTCCAAGTCAATGTCCTTGGTGGCGGTGTGTTCTCATAGATGCTGCCAGTCGATGCCCACCAGGGTCTGATTGGCTTCCTGTGCGTGGCCGATCTCCTCCGTGAGGCTGTGCTGCTGCCAGAGCTTCTGGATCTTCTGAAAGCGCTCCGCGCACAGGTGCAAGGGGTTGCCCCGCCTGCAGACAAGACCTGCGTCACCAACATGCCCCGCACAGGGGCGGGGGGCCTTCACAGCGTGCTCAGAGAGGTGAACAGGCCATGGAGCCTCCCAGGGCTTCCTGAAGCCCCGAGTGTCTGCATGTCCCCAGCCCTTCCCGAGGGGGACAGGTGCAAGAGCAGTGACGACGGAGATGCACCCATTAGCCGGACTGACACACTCCAGCTGCACCCACACACACTACCCACAGTGGGAGTGAGGGACAGGGTGGGACAGGGGCAGGAGGGCTTGCGTGAGAGCTCCACTGCTGTGCCCGTTGCTGGTGACAACAGCCAGCAGGCACAGGTTGGTCACCTCACGCCGGGCCACCTGTCCTGGGCAGTGCACCTCAGCCCCCTAAGCAGGCTGCTGGTGCCTCAGCGAAGCCCACGCCCTTGGCCTGTGGGCCGTAAGCTTGCGGCCGGGCTCCAGGAACGCTGTCTCCTCCTTTCACGGTGGCTGCCAGGCCTGCACCTCCCTTTCCAGGATGCAGTCACCTCTAGGGCACACTTATGCCTACTTTGAGGACCCTGAGCTCATCGACAGAAATGGTGGGACAGCAGAAGTGACGGGGCCTCCACCGTAGGCAGACGCTGTGCTGGGTGATCGGCAACTTATCCCCGTGAATGTGAGGCTTCTCTCGCATCGCTTAAGGTATGTTCTTTGACAGACACCCACGATGCCGGGCCTCCCCTGCCCACAGCCACATGAGCCAGAGGGGCCGTCTGTCAGGGTCCTGACGCTGGGATGGTCCGTGGGGAGTCAGACAGTTTCTCAGGAGTGAGGAATAAGCGCCCCGCACTGCCCACGCCCTGATTTACGGGACAGCCCTCGTGCCATGCTGGGAAGAGGATGCTGGCCAGGAAGTCCTGGTGTCTTCTTTGGGGAAGGGGCTACAGATATCCACAGCCCACTCTGCCAGGACCACCCGAGTCCCCGCACAGTCAGTGGGGACACGCACTTCATCTGTCCACCACAGACGGATGGGCTCCGGAGTCTGTCAACCCACCCCTAGGACGGGCCTTACCTGAGCCCCTGGTCCGTCTCTCCGTAGTCATCAAGGTAAGGAGGAGCGTAAAAACAGCCTTTGGTTTTGCCGGCTAGGAACAGCACCTGGCACTCTCGCACCCTGCGGAGAGATGGCGACGGGCAGCTCTCAGGCCCTGCACGCACGGCTCACGGGAGCGCTGGGCTGCAGCGGCCGAGTCGGCTCCACAGGCATGAGCGGCTCCACAGGAGAAACACGTGACGCTGGTGGCATGCTCCCATATGCGGGGCCACCTCGGAGCCCCACGGGGCAGTTCTACTCTGTCCTCTGGGGCCACGGGGAGTCCGAGTGGACTCGATGGCCGTGGGTTGAAAACAAGGCTTGGACTCCTCTCCAAATGGACTCGAGCCTTCTGAACACGACACAAGCAGTGCGGGGGAGAAGGTCCGACGCTGGAGAGCACCGCATTGCCCACCGGCGGCACGGAGTCCAGCAGTGAGGGGAAGGACGGGCACGCACGGTCAGTGCCGAGAGGCAAGTTCGCAACAGAAGAGGGTCCCGACAGTCTTACCCACTACGAACAGGGACTGATTTGCAGGCACGTCGCGAATGAGGCAGACTTGTACATTCCCCAAGAACGGGGACACAGGTTACTGTCCCATTTTTCTTTGAGGACGAGTCCAAAGAAGTGAGCCCCGTGAGTTTCCTGACCTTTCTAAGACAGGATAAACACCTGTCTTATCCACTTTACTCATGGCAGCCTGCTCAGGATTGCGTTTGTCTGCAGTCTCCGCCTGGTACACTGCAGGTGAGCGAACGTCTGCTGGATGCGCACAACTACGTGCATGCAGCTGAGATATGCATGGCAGAGGCAGCACCCCGGAGTCATGGGGACACAAGAGAAGGACCCTGGGGGAAGGAACGGGGAGAGCTGCGCTTCCCATGCACAGAGCTGCGACGGGGGCTGGGGCTGGGAGGAGGAACGGGAGTGCAGAGGTCAAACGACAGGTGCCCACGTCTCAGCAGGGGCGCAGGATGATGTGGCCGGGCCTCACCTCAGGAAGACGCCCACGCCGGAGCCACAGGAGTCCGTGTGCGCGGTGCAGGCGCCCACGTCCTCGCCATCCAGCTCCGTCTGGCAGCAGTAGCTCTGGGAGCACAGCAGGGCTCCACACACAAGGCACAGCGTGGGGGCTCTGCTCTTGTCCCCACCGGACTTGGGGCACCTGGGAGGGACGAAGGGAACACAAGCACTCTTTACAACGGAGAGGGATTTGGCACTACGTCCAACGGGCCCGGGGACCTAAGCTCTGTACTCACGCAGCCAAACCATCACCCACCCCGCACGGTCACGTCACAGCCACACACACTGCAGACACAAACGAACCCAGGCACGCGGGGAAGCTCACTCCTGGTCACGTTAGGACCAGGGACGTCTGCGGGGAAGGAGCAGGCCACACAGGGAGGGACTGTGCCTGGGTCCAGGCCAGGCGCCATCTCTCACCGCCTGTTGTACTTCCTCTGTGCCACCAGGAAATGCTACATAATATTAAAAATTGTCTGGGGTGGGGCGGGCGGGCGTGTTTTTACATGACATTTTACGACTCAAGGCGCTCTGGGGAATGACTACTGCTAGGACTGCCCGGCCCACACGTGGTGAGGGCACCACAGACGTGTGTCCTCGGCTTCTAGTGGTAGGGAAGAGCTCACAACTTACGAGAAATTGGACGCTTGATTAATGAGGTTGCTGTAGTCCTCCGGCAGGTCTAGAAGTCTGTTCGGTTCTCTTGGGTAGCTGAAAACGGGCACATGAAAGTCCGTGAGCGTGAGGTCACAGACAGTGTAAGGACAGGGCGACTCTCCTTACCGATGAACAGAGGGAGATTCTCAAGCCAAGTGATTGCACACCACGCCAGTAGTTGAGAAGCCAAAAGTAAAACAAGCCAAGAGCCCCCCACCCTGAAAGACAGCGCCCTAGGGCGCTTTAATGGACGAGTTCAGAATAAACTCAGAATAAAAAGGCTGCTTCGGATCCACCCACACAAATCACGCCCACGGGACCAGCTGACTCGGACTTGAGGGGCGCGGGCACGGCAGGCAGAGCAGAGCTGCCCTGCAGGGTCCGGAGTGCCGGGCTCAACTGCCCCGTGAACATGGTAGGCTTGAAGGTGAATCAACCCACTTTCCAGTTAGCCGTCAGGCGCTCAACCAACCCACCATCAGGGTCCCTAAATCGACCCCACTGACGTGCAACTCCGGGGGCCCTGGTGTTGCTGTAGGTTAGGCACGGGGTTACTGACGGCAAGGTCAGTGGTTCAAACCCACCAGCCGCTCCATGGGAGAAAGATGAGCTTGCTTGCTCCTCTAAATATCTACAGCTTCTGACGCCTATGCATAGTCTCGTGAGTTCAAGTGAACTCACCCACACAGGAGTCAGAGTCAGAGCCAGCGACAGAACTTAGGGTCTGAAGGACAGAAGGGACACGCAGCCCACTGGGGAGGAGAGAAGGCAGTAGTTCATATAGTTCCCCCAACCATAACATTATTTTCGTTGCCACTTCATAACTGTCATTTTGCAGCTGTGATGAATCGGGCAACCCCCGTGAAAGGGCCGTTCGACCCCCAAAGGCGTCGTGGCACAACCCACAGGTTGAGAACCGCTGCTCTAAGAGACCAGGCCACCCAAGTTGATTCAGACCAAACTTAGGGCCAACTTCCACTGGTACTTGAAGGCCTGCTCTCTGTGCAAGGTGCTTGACGTGCCCAGTGTGAGCGGGCGGCAGGGCCGTCCCTCCTGCAGAGCTCAGTGGTGGATTCATTGAGCGGTGGGGCTCTAGGCAAACCTGAATCACTTGGGGAGCTTGGGGGAATATACATGCTGGGAGCCTTGGATAATTGGCAGCATAAATCCCACCCCCAAATGTAGGCATTGATCACACCCCCACTTTCCCGGCATCATTTCTGATACCAGATGACCACATTGGACTTTCCCTGAGAAAGAACTCAGGAGGTAAGGCAAGTTTGGGGAGTTTACACAACACCCCCAAAATTTCTGACCTGCTAGCCACAGACTTGGGGGTCTCCTCATTACTCCATTAAAGTATCAGCTGCAAACTGGTTTGATAATTCATTGGGATGTCTCATATTACTCACCAAAGTACCAGACTTGCAGATACAGACTAATTATAGCCAAAGACGACAGGTCAGGATCCTCTCTAAGGAACAGATGCACACACCAGGTCTGGGGGCTTCAGGTCCCCAAAGGGGCATTCCTTTGTCTTTGTCAACAGGGAGCTTCCCGAGCCTCTGTGGTTGGGGCTTTATCAGCCAGTCACGGCTGCGCCCTCACTGTACGCGAGAGGCAACGTCGTGCCTCCTGAGGTGAGCTGACCCCGGCCTTTTCTGGTCTGGCAGCCCGCATTTGCTACACAAATCCCCAGGTGCCACCTGCAGGTTTCAGGTGGAGGAACCTCAAGCTCTCCCACGGTAGTCACCAAAGCCAAGGACGAAGGTCAATTTTAGAGAAAGGGGCTGGAGTGCTTCACAGCAGTTTTCCAGGTGGAACACCAGGGGCGCTGTGGCAGGTGCCTCGCCCTCAGCTGCTCGCTCAGCGGCCAGTGGCGGGCTCACCAGGGTCCGAAGGTCTGTCTGGTGGTGGGTCCTGTCAGGATGGCTGCCCCACAGGACTGCTGGGTCAGAGCTGACGCCACAGCACACAGCAGGGACCGCTCTACTGGGTTTCCTGACTAAGGCTGAGCCGTAGGAACTGCCTGTATACAATCTGCAATCACCTGCATCATCAGTGGCTGGGAGGTGGTCCCTAACAACAGGTGACAGCACACGGGGAGATGGCATGACGTCTACGCACCACCTCTGAGCCTGGCTGGGAAACTCCCCGCCATCCAGCCCCTCAGAGCTACGGGAAGTGGTGATAAGAATGTGACGGCCCGCGGGGCGCAATCAGAACCCCCAGCCTCAGGACAATGAGTCCACTTCAGCAGCAAAGAAACAGGAGGAGGAACTGAGACTCCAGAGACGGACCAACCAATTACAAGACGCCTACAAATCTTATTTGAATCTGGGCTGAAACACACTATGACAACTGGCCACATTTGATCCTTACTGAAGCTGATCTACCTAACTTTATTTTGGATTGTCTGAAATGTTCCATCATAATATACTAAAAACAAAATAAACAACAGATAAAGACAGACAGCCACGGAACACCTGGGAAGGAGCCTACATTTTAGAAATAAATAGATCTTCCAAAATAGAGTACTCTGCTTCGTTTCCCCTGTCAACAGGTGCAGCTCTCCATATTCACATCCGAGACGCTGTTGCACATTCTCAAGACCAGGCTAAGGAGGAGGCAGAATGAGAGCAAGGCGTTCCCGCCTACCTGGCAGCACGGCAGGCACAGGAGGCATGTTCTGAAGGGATGCTGCACTGACATCCTGCTGCCTCCTGGCCTTGCCTCCAATCACCTCTTACCTGATAGCGTCTCTTTCACCGTCTAGATAGCGTTTAACTTCTGTGTGATGGCACCAGCTTCAGGGTAAACAGGGAGGAAAAAACACAACAAAACATTCTGAAACAGCTCGAAGAATCTCCACCCCGCCCCGCACAATCCAGTAATGAGAAGTCTCCCTGACTCAGTATGCTAGGCGCTGCCCAACCACAAAGTGGCGGGAGAAATCCCTATTTTGCCTTCATCTTTTACTGCGACTCAGCCTATTAAGTCGCGACTACGCATACGATAACCCCATTCATGAGGACACTCTGGACCAGCCGGTCTGCACCACTGACAACTCATGTCACCTGCAGCTAGATCCCCGCGTGTTCACCCTCGCTCCCTAGCTGGACAGGACTTTCAAAGGGGCCCCCCGTGTCTAGGCTTCCAGTTTCTCAAATTCAAAGTGGGAGCAGACTAGATAGCCCCGACATGTTCTTCCAGCCCCGCAACATTTATGGAACAAAGTCTGTGTGGATACGGCATTTCTATCATTACTCACTGTGCCACGCCACAAACTTGGCAAACATCTGAACCACAGGATAGACCTCTAGAGTTAGGAAGGCCTGATCATTATTGGGGGAATGACAAAGGCTGAATTCTGTCTGGCTAACTCTCTAAGAACTTTGCCAAATATGTAATAAACTGAAGTCTGGTTCCATATAAATACTCAAAATGATGAAATACATAATTGTTACCTTTTAATCAGTGAATTCATTAGCTCACTGTTTTCTTGAAAGAGGCGAATGAGGTTGCTTGGTAGGGAAAGATAGTTACATAAATGTTCAAAATGGCTCGTTCCCGTAACTGCAAATATAGAAGACAAGTTTGACGCTTTTATCAAGGTGGATTGTGGATGCAAATAGGCAACAGCAGAGCTTGAAACACCACCCTTTCATCCTTCCATCCATCATCCATTGGAATCAGCAGAAGCAGAGCTTGGAAAATCAACCAACCAACTAACCAACCAACACATAAAGAGCTCGCATTTGCTAGATATAAAACTTGAAAGGAAACTAACAGGGGAGCCCGGGGAAAGGTAGGCTCCACAGAAAATGACACGCGGAGGGGAGGGGAGCCAGGCACCTCCGACACCAGACAGCTCGTAAATTCCTGGTGTCTCAGCTTCATGATTTGCAATACAGTCTACAGAATTGCGTCATCCACTTCATGGGGCTAGTTCAAATATTAAATGACAAATATCATGTACAGATGCTCTGGAAGAGTAGAAAGCAACACAGAAATATAAGATGGTCTGATTGTGAAAGACAGAGTGAAAGCGCAGCCGCCATTGCAAACTTGGCAGCCCCCCTGCTAGAGGATGCCAGCCCACAGGACGGGCCTCTGTGACTGTGCCAGGCGCTATGGGAATACAGAGGGAGGAGCTGCCAGTCTGCCTTTAGACTCCTCTGATGAAATGAATCAAAACAGAATACAGGAAGAAACAGTGGCAAGTCAATCCCCACACATTAAAATCACATCTACATGCAATTACTGTTTAATGTGTATATCTGCACATTGACTGAGACCCAAATAAAGTCAGATTTATACCCACCAATGGCTTTTGTGAAATGCAAACATCTCGATAATCAATAAGCTGTGTTCTAAAATGTTTTAATGGGTCTTCATTTTTCCCAAGTCAGTTTTCATTCTAAACTTCTGGGGTAAAAGACTACCGACATTTCCTACAGTCTGAAGTAAACCGGAGATTACCTTGAACTTCGGGTGGGGAAGGAACTCCATTTAAGTAATGGAAAAATAGAGCGGAGCACTTCAGGAAAGGCATGATCCCAGCTCGGACGCTCCTCCACAGGTGCCAGCCGGAGGGTGCTTCTTTCAAGGCACTACGAGAGAGGAGGGTGCTGGTGGGCAAGGGTGACAGGCCACTGCACACAGCACGGCGTCGATGCACCTGAGCTGCGGAGGTCAGCTGGCCGGCAGGGGTCCCGACGCCGAGAGCATGTCAGGGGCAAGCGGTGCTGCGATGGAACTCTACCAGCAGGAGAAGGTTAGTGCAATCCATGAGACGCAGAGCTAACAGCGGCCCCAGAGCTCTGTGCACCGTGACCACGAATGGGTCAAGTTCTGTAGCACAGCACCCACCCCACGCCATGCCATTCCCTCCTGATTCACCACTGACAGCCCTTCAAGTTCTTTGGTAGCACAAATAGCAGTCACATGCACATCTTCATGCCTGCAAGTTTACTATGTGTCGGATGATTCTGATAGTGTGGAATTTCAGAAATGGGCTAACCCGGGAACAACTCTTTTTATAGGTTATTTACGTTTGGGGTCTAAAAGCCCAATCCACACAAGGGCAACATATGGAGGTCTAACAGTTAGAGGGCATTTTGGCTAGTCGCTGACACGAGCTTAGAAATACATCTCTAGGTTAGTACAGTAAAGGTCTCACTAACCGTCTCTCCCACCTCCTTCCCTTTTATTTTAAAGCAGTGGTAGCAACACCTAAGTAACAAAACACCGCCGTTTCTCTGAGTTTTACGCGTACAATGAGATGACGTCGATGATCTCCACCATTCGGTGCAAACCATCAACCACCTTCTTTCTAGGAACAACCGACAGACAGCATGCTGCTCCCTGGACTTCGCGGCTCCATTCCCGTACTATTCCGGGATACGGCAGCCATGCAGCAGTCAGCTCACCTTCCTGTGTGCTCGCGGAGCGTGCTGTACAGGCTGAGAACGGCTGACTCCTCCTCCCCGGGGGGCTCTTCTTGATCCATGCCATTCTCCTCTGAAAGAAGGAGCAGCATCAGTGCATCCCAGCACTGAGTCACTCAGATACGCCCAGACGCTAACACGCGGCACGGACATGCTCCCACACGTCACACAGCACTGCCATCTTTTAAGTCTGAGCGCTTAACTCAGTGAGCCAGAGAGCTTAGGGACAGGAGACCAATGTGCTTCAGTGCAGCCACCTGCCAGCTGGAGGTCAGAATCATTAAACGTTTTGTCTTAACAGCAATTTGAGAAATCAGGAAGCGGGAATGCTAGAGACAATTTAATGATGAACGCGTAAGTTACACACAAAACTGACATTCTAAAATGTAACATTCTAAGGGACTTAGCCACGACGCTACTCCAGAGTTACAGGGCTTAAACTCCACTGCTTCTTTGTGGACGGGCGGGGGCAAGCAGTACCTGTGCACGAGGCAAGCAGGATCTGGATGATGTGGGCCATGGTAACCAGGTGGAAGATGTGAAGGTCTCCGGTGCCCAGGCTGATCCCTGAGAAATCCTGACACTGCAGCGCAGGGAACGCGAGAACTAGGCCCACCTGGGCAGCAAACACAGTCAGTGAGACAGCGAGACCCGGCTTCACCTTCCTAACGTGAGCCCCCTGCACCAAGCCCAGTCCTTTCCCTTAGACTGAAATCTTTGATGGGACAAAGTGCCCTGGGTGCTTGGTTGCTAACTGAAAGATGGGCGGTCAAGTTCAGCAGCGGCTCCCCAGGAGAAAGCAGGGTGGTGGCGGTCTGCTCCGACAGAGATTTAGTCTTGGAAACTCGGGCCTGTGTGCTCGCTCCGAGTTGAAGTGGACTTATCGCGTGGATTTCTTGATTTTTACATCCACAGAGATCTCACCAGGATGTGTTTGAGAAAACAGTATGAGTTAAAAGGGGTCTTGACGGACATTATCCTTTCATCCATGCAGTGGTTCCCTGAGGTGTAGCCTCTGGCCCATCATACACAGTTGGCAATGTTCCTGGCATCAACAGGAGGGAGAGCATCGAGTCTGAAGCCACAAAGACCGAGGTACGACTCCCCCCTCCTCCTCTTAGGGGCTTCCCGACAAGTGAGCCCCTGAGCCTGTTTCTTGAATGGTAAAGACAAATAACTTGCTTCTACACACATAAGCACCTATACTATAATAGCAAGAAGGCAAGGACTAAATGCACGTGACAGCACTTAGGTATACAAGACTCTAGCTCTTCTAAAAATAGAAAACAGCCAACACTTATCAGGAACATACTGCTGGATGCGCACTGGGGGGTGTGGACTGTCCCCGCGGGTTCTCACACTCACTAACTCCCTACAGGCACACAATCTGAGTCCAATCTGTGTGTGCTGGTTCACTCTGCACCGGCACAAAGGGCCCCGGTTCAGGTGGGGCTGGAATCCAGTCACCCAGCTCGGTGCCCTGGCCCTCGGTGCACCCACGCCGAGGACATACCTATCCGTGAAGTGCTGAAGGGGCTGTCTGTCACCAAGAAGTGTGACTGCAGATGTGCTGCACTGCACAGAGACCCTGGAGCGACCAACAGTAGCCCTTACGTTGCTGGTATTATCGCTGCCTCTCTGGAGGCACAACCACGCGGAGGCTGGGTAGCTGACCTTGTTGGTCACACAAAATAAGAAAGGATATTAAAATGTCCATGCTTTGAGGCTCAGTCAAGAGCCTCAAGTAGGGCTTCTAGCACTTAAGGGAAAAAAATTAGAAGGGGCAATAAACAAAACAAAAACAACCAACCAAGCTCACGGTCCTTGCGTGGAGGCTGACTTTAGGATAGCATAGAACTGCAGCTGCAAAGCCTCATCTTTCTCCCAAAGAGGGGCTGGGAGACTCAAACTGCTGACCTGGTACTTGGCAGCCCAACAGGTAACTCATTCGGCCACCAAGGCTCGCAGAAGTGGCCACAGTAATGTCACACGGCAATCCCTGTCTGCCCCCCCACTGCTCATCAAGCCCAGGGGAGAGCGAGACCGCACAAAGAGGAAGTCACAGCCGCGCTCCACACTCACCAGTAAATGAAACATGTCGATGTCTAGGACGCACGGGAGGTCTCCACGGCTGTCACCAGGCACCAATGCTAAATGTTTACGGAGAAATAAATGCATGAGTACGTTTCGTATGCCAACATAGGATTAAACCACTTTAAGGATGTACGCAATCTAGTTTTAAAGGTATCTTTTAGTGAAATACAGTAAAACCTGTGGAGGGGGAGCCCAGGTAATGAGAAAACCTGTCAGAGAAGGAAAATCAGTCTATTCCCACGGAAGTGAGAGGTAGTTAGTGCCGTCAAAGGCAGCAAATTTCAACAGACCCAGGGACCCCACTGAGTTCCAGCTCCCCCAGGTTCCACTGTGCATATGAATTTATAACCGACCGAGAGAGTCTGAGTAAAGACCAGCAGCACCTCGAGGTCAGCTCTTGTCATGGCGAGAAGAAAGACTTAACGAGAGAAATGACTGCCACATGGATGGCAAACGTGTTAACACTCACATGCGAAGAGTTTACAAAAGTGTCCTTGTACCACCGAGAGCGACGCAACTGTCCAGTGTGCGGCCGCAAATCTTGTTAGTGACCTCAGACAGTCGTCCTGAAATAAAGAGGTCGACACGGTGGGCAGACGCCAGCACAGGAAGTAGCTCTGCTCAAAGCAAAGCCGCCCGTCCGATGATGGAGGTCGTTACGGGGCCTATGGAGCGGAACTGGGGATAACTTGGACGTCGGGTCTCCACCAGGAACAAGGCTACCGACGGGAAAGCCAGCTGCACGCTAGGCGAGCAGAAGCCATCTCCCTGCCCCCGCACTGGCTCCTAGAGAAAGGGGGGACGACAAATTTGGCGGGGGTGGTGGTGGTGGTGTGTCTCACAGACGCGGGACTCTTAACTCACAGTACAACAAGCCAGGGGGTCAACGGTTTCTTTACACGGACCCTAAAGGAAGCCTCTGAGAGGCGGGCAGTACTCTGCTGACTGGGGAACCCTGCCCCGATGCTGCTCCCACATGGCTTAGAAACGGAGCACACATTGGAGCGTCAAAATATCTTTCCCGGGAAGACTCCTGCACCAGGCTTAGTTTTGATCTTGACGGGAAGCTCACTGCCCCACCTTCGCTGCTCTCTAGTTCAGCGCACTCGAGTGCGAGGAAGAGACAGAAAAGGAGAGAAGACAGTGGAAGGTGGCGAAGAACTCGCAGTCAAATGAGTCGGGTGGGCACTGATGAAGGGCTTCGTGGTTGGCACCCACTCAGTAGCTCCCCGAGAGAGAGACCTTGCGATCGGTCCGTAAAGACGACAGCCGAGAAAACCCAGAGCGGCCGATCAACAGTCACGTGGGGCTGCTAGGGGTTGGAAACACACGTGATGGCTCCTGGCAGCAGGGAAGCGCCGAGAAAGCCCAGAGAGCCTCTTGGGAGGAGCCGGGTTCCATGTGGAGGATTCCTATCTGTGTAGGGCTTGGGACCAGCGTCTGGGAATGCGCAGTGATTCCGCAAGTCTGACCGGGGTGCTTTTGCGGGGAGCCCTTCTGAAGACGGAGTAGAGACAGTAAGACAGCTGCAACGCAGCAAGCGAGGCAAGAGAGGGGAGGAGCTGAGTCCACGAAGCAGAAGTGGGGACGGGAGAGCACACAGCCTCAGCTTAGTTCTCCAGCCCCGACATTTTCGGTAAAGATAGTTCGCTCAATACTGAGAGGGCCTGCCACGTGCCAGGCTTCGTTTTGACCACAACCTGAAAGCCCAAACGGACCAACTGGATAGGCATGCCCAGGCCCAACCTCACACCTAGCAGGACTTCCGCGTTCTGCTGGTGGCATTACCTACACACAGACTGCAGGAGGGAAGGGCCACGGACTGCAGGGCAGCGGTTCTCCACCTTCCTCACGCCGCCACCCTTCAGTACAGGTCCTCATGGGGGGTGACCCCCAACCATACAGCATTGTCATGGCTACTGCATCACTGTCATGTTACTACTGTTATAAATCGGGTGAGCCCTGTGAAAGGGTCGTTTGACCCCCAAGGGGTCGTGACCCACCGGTTGAGAACCACGGCTGTGGGCCGGGAGACGCCTGCGGGAGATCAAGGAGGCTGGTGGCGCAAGGGTAAGGGGTGGGCTGCAGCTGGGGGGCGGGGGTGGGGTGGGGCGCGACACGGGCGGGAGGCAGGAGACAGACAAGGAGCAGCCAGACGGAAAAAGTGTCAACAGAAAGAGGAGCGTGAGCAGAAAGCACAGCTAACAGATTTAAGAAAATAAAGCCGTCACACACAGAAAAGGCCGGACAAGTAATGGGGTCCCTGGATGAACCTGACAAGCGCAATCTCCACACGCGACAAAGGGTCAGTTAGCCGGCTGGCAGGGACCTGAAAAGGGAACAGTCAGCAAGACCCCGGAGACGGGAAAACAGCAGCACATCGAACACAGTGGG